TCCCTGATTGGGAGCATAGATATTAATAAGTGTTATGACTTCTTGGTGCATGATTCCCTTTATCATTATGAAGCGTCCCTCAGTATCATTCTTTATCCTTTTTTATTTTGAAGTCTATTTCGTCTGATATTAGTACTGCTACTCCCACTTTTTTCCTTATGCCATTCGCTTGAAATATCATTTTCCACCTTTTCTCTTTGAGTCTCTGGAACTCAGATGTGTCTTCTGGAACTCAGATGTGTCTTCTGGAGGCAGCGTATGGTTGGGTTTTGTTTTTTGATTCATTCTGCAACTCTGTGCCTTTTTATTGGTGAGTTCAGTCCATTTACATTTAGGGTGATTATTGAAATATGGTCTTCTTATAGCAATTTTCTCTTTTGCTTTCTGGTAGCTCGGTGTTTCCATTGCTTCTTTGTCTTTGTGTTTCTGTTTTCTTTATTTTGTTTGGCTTTTGTAGATTTTGCCTCTAGTTCTTCTTGTTTTATGTTATATATTTTTAGTTCTGAATCTTTGGTATGTGGTTACTATTACAAATATGAAAAAGATAGCTATATATATACAGTCTTCCTTTTTCTTCTGCTCGTGCTTTATCTCTATTCCACTTTGTGAATTTAGATCTTTGAATCCTCCCCTTTTCAGTCATCATTATCTCAGTTTGTCCCTATGTATGCTGAGTGTTCATTACTATCTTGCTATAGCAATTCTCTTATTATTTAAGCATTTAATATCCTGTTCTTAGTAAGGGTTGCACTTCTCTGCTTCTATTTGCCTGATAGTCACTTTACTCCTAATTATGTGTTTTTTGTTTTGTTTTGTTATTTTGTTTTACATGACCTGACACCTTTCAATATTTTCTGTAGTGCAGGCCTCATAGTGGAGAATTCCCTCAATTTTTGTATGTCCGGAAAGGTCTTAATTTCTCCTGCATATTTAAAGGAGAGCTTAGCTGATACATTATTCTAAGCTGGTAGTTCCTTTCACTTAACAGTTTAAATATTCGATTCCATTCCTTTCTGGCTTATAAGGTTTGCACTGAAAAGTCTGATGATAATCTAATGGGTTTTCTTTTATGAGTTACTGTCTTCTTTTCCCTGGCTTCCCTAAGAATTCTGTCTTTGTTGTTGATTTTCGATAACTTTAATACAATGTGTCTTGGTGAAGGCCTTTTTGGGTTGATATAATTGGGTGTTCGGTTGACTTCTTGAATTCCAAGCTCTAGCTCGTTCCTTAAATTTGGGAAATTCTCGTTCACTATTTGTCTGACAATGCTTTCTAGTCCCTGCTCCTTTTCCTCACCTCCAATAATGCCCATTATTCTTATGTTTCCTCTCCTGATGGTATCAGCTACTTCTTGTATTTCTCCTTCATTATTTTTCATTCTTCGGTTTATCTCGTCTTCCTTCTGATTTATTTCTAGATTTCTGTCTTCGATATCACCAATCCTTTCCTCCATTTGGTTGACTCTATTTCCCAAGCTTGCTATTTCATTTTTCAACTCTGGCAGTGTGTTCTTCATCTCCAGAAGTTCTATTTGGTTCCTTTTGAGGGTTTCAATCTCCTTGCTCTGCTCATCTAGTTGTTTTTTCAATTTCTGAAATTGTTGATTTTAGTTGTTTTGGATTTCATTGAGTTTTTTCAGAAGTACCAACCTGAATTCTCTGTCATTTAAGTCACATATTGCTATGTCTGTAAGCTTATTTTCTGGAGATTTTTCTCTTTCTTTCTGAGATGCCTTGTCACCTTGGTTGTTCATGGTGTTTAATGGACTATTTCTATGCTTAGGCATTAATGGAAGTGTATTCTGTTGTTTTTCCAGAAAGAAGATTTATTATATAAAGGTCTCTCTTTAGCCTGCAGTAAAGAAGGTGCTTTTCTCTTGGTTTCCAGGAGGTGGCGTCTAAACCTCTTGGATCCCTGCTTTATATAAAGCCTAAATGTCTTTTTTTATTTTCTTGTAGATATTTAATCACACTTGCTACTCTCAGTTTCATTCCCTGTCAGTGTTAGCAACAGTTTCGGTAGTGTTTGCTCAGATTCCCCTGGGGCTCCATGGTGATCAGTCTCGGAGGGTATGTGGGGAAGGGTCCTTTGGGTTAGGGGTTGGAGGCTACAGCTCAGCCTTGGTTTTGGAACTGGGGCTAGTGAAAATTAACTGTTGTTTTTCTACTGTCCCATCCCACTTCTCTGCTTTCTGCCTTGATGGCTGGGCCTGCTGCCATCTGCCAGAAGTTCCAGCACTTCTAGGCAAGGCTGATCAGGGAAGTTGCCGCACCTTCACCCCTCCCCCTCCACCTGCAAGGAGCTACAGTGGCTGTGAGAGGCAGCTTCTTTATTTCTTTCAGTTCACCGCCCAACACCTGGGGTTCTGACCTATATGGTAGCTCTTATGTGCAGATCCCACAC